AAAAAAAAAGATATTATACAAACTCATAAGTTTTCTAGAAACTTATATAAAAAAACAATTCAGTTCGGGTGGCTTGTAAATATAGTTAGCGTTATACTTGGAATTAAGCTCAGAAATTACCAGAAACTAACGTAAAATGTCTATGATCACATGACATAACAGATAACTATGATACATGACAGTCTTCGAAACTGACTTTCAATCTTTTCGATAATGACTTCCGAGGACGAAAAACCCGGTAAGTCACTCAAAACTAAAATATATATCTTTTCATTTTAACAAATGAATAAATGATATATATATATATATATTTGTATAGTAATGATTGCTACGCAAAAAGAAATGGAGGAGGCACACCTTCCTCTAGAATATCGAGACTTTTGTGCACATTTATTAATACCTTTAAATAAATGTCGAAATAAAACCAATTACTTGCCGTGGAAATGTGAAAACGAGAGGCACGCATATGAAAAATGTCAATATGATGAGTGAGTAATTGATAAATGAATATTTAACGATAATTTTCTTAAATCATTTATCTCCATTAAAACATAAATTGGAATACGATACGTTTTATAAAGTTATTTACGTAGAATGCGGCTTGCAGCAAAGAGGAAAAAAGAAGAGGAACAAAAAGAAACAAAACAATAACGTATAATATTAATCACGAATGGATCGATTAACATTTATTATAAAAAAGTATATTTTTTCAAGATCATTCAAGAGAAATTTACATTAAGATCCTCTGATTTTTTGCTCAGTGAATAATACATGTCTACGAACTTGTAATAATTTATAACAAAAACTCAATATCGCACCAAATAAAAAAAAAAAACAAAGATAAATGAAGATAAACATACTTATAGGATCATATTTAATAAATGATAACTTTGGTAGTTGTCTCGGTCGAGTTCTTGTGTAAAAGTATCCGGTACCGGCAGCCGAGACGAGTTTTACTATTGTTGTTCTTTTTATTTATTAGCACAAACATAACAAACATAGCACAAAAATAAATGTTCATTATCATTATTTTATTTTAAATTTGTGAATTTACCTTGCTTTTGCTTTTTTTGCCACTTTTTGTTGAAAGGCATAATATATTAAGATATTTAAGATATTTAAAATAATTCGGATAAAAATACACACGCAAACATATAATTAGTATAATGACAATCAATGACTCACTTTTTAATTGTTGAAGAAATTAAAAGAGAATGTCTCGATACCCGTTATCTGAAAATGTTTGAAAATGTTTGAAAATGTTTGATAACGTTAATCACAATTTATTTTTAATTCGGGCCAATCGAAGTCGGGCAGAATTACAATATCCGATTGGACCATCTTTCACATCACGTACATGTTCCCTATCATTTCCCCGAGATTATTTTCCCCGAAAAACACTCCCCGAAAAAAAATTTCACAGACAATCATTTCCCCGACAACCAATTCTCGGCACTTTCATTTCTTCGACACTTTATCAATTTCCTCGGGAAATGAAAGTGTCGAAGAAAGAAGATTGTCGGGGAATTGGCTATCGGGGAAATGATTGTCGGTGAAATTTTTCGGAGAAGTATTTGTTGGGAAAATGATAGGGAACCATTGATAAGAAAGAGGGCATTGTAAGGTAAAAAAAAACGCGGCAAAATGACATTTTTTATACATTAGATAAATAAAAATAAATAATCACATCTTTTTACACAATTTTTTTTACACAACTTCTTACATAGCTTTTACATAAATTTTTATTATATTTATTACATAATTGTTTTTGGCTGATCCAAGTAAAAGTCGCATGCCATTTTCTAATAATGCAAAACTTTTTTGGTAGTCAGGTACCAAACGCTGTTTGTCGAAAATTCTTTTGAAGCAACTGGATTGGACTTGAAAATTCGTAAATATTAAATATTTCCACAAAAAGTAAAGTTAATTATTTTTTTAATTAAATAAAATGATAAAGGATATTCAAAAAAAAAAAACACGCAACTGATTGACGGTGAGCACTTCCAGTCAATCGTCTATCACGTTCCATCATCTGCGTATCCCAAGTATCTAAAGAGATTCTAGGAGGCTAATAATCAAAAAGATGTAATAATTTCGTAAACAATCATAATTAGAAATTACACAATATAGAATTGGAAATTCAACAAATTTTCACAAGTGTTCAAGTCTTTTTTCCCGATTCAGCGATAAATTTGACATTTTTTATATTAAAGAATCACCTTGCCTTCATGTCGAATCCTTTTAGTAAAATTTAATAATGTACCAGTCACTCCTATCATTCCAACAATTATGCCTGAAGTGAAAATCACAATTATTAGAAATTTAATAATAGATACTTTATTAACCCGAAATTAATTCACCTAAAGGGATAAGCGCTTCAAAAGGAACTGGCATGGCTAACGGAAAATTAAAACAGATAGAAATAAAAAAAATTGTGAAATTGATTAAGTTTATGCGTAGATCAAGTTGTGATACGGTTAATCATTTATAGATAACTCCCGATCGGAGTTAATAACTTATGATACTTATGATTATGTTGTGTTAAACACTCCGGTTTAATGCTAAGACGCGCCCAGCTTCCGAATGTTTATAATATATCTCACCACACAAAATGTGAAAATTGTAAAAAGTCGTTTTTTTTATCATTCAGCCCTGGTGTTACCTTTACGTCATGTAAAAATAAATTGATTCATAAAGGAATCATCGACAGAACCATCTGATAACAAATGTTTGTCCTTACAGCACGTGTGATTTTAATGACTTCAACCACCACATACCTTCATTTTAAATAAAAAGCCTCAAATTTCTCTCACGCTGTTTTTTTGAAAAATTTTTTTCTAATTTTCTATTAAGTTTTATATTCCTAAATTCACGTTTTTTACTACTCATTTAATTCACTTAATTTAACGAAAAAAATCCAACAAAATGGCTGAAATGCTTGATAAAATCAAATCCACTTTACAAGACGGAAAGACCCAAATTACCAAAGTAGTTACGGATGTTAATAATGAAATAACAAAGACCGCGCAGAATAATAACATAAATTCTCCTTTACCGGCCGATTTTGCTTCTGAAGTCGCAAAAGCTGCCAATATCTTGAATTGTTTTACTGGTAACTATATATATATATATATGTATACTTATTTATTTCTTGATTTTATATACCTTTTATGAATTTCTGATTGTTTTTTTAAGACCCCGAAAAAAGTGAAGGAGGTCTAGAACAGGTAATTCCCAAGGAAGTTTTTAATAAAGCCATGGGTTTGGCTGTCTTCACCGTGGTTAAAGCTGGTTTCGTGTGGTCTGGACGCGTCGGATCTGGTTTGGTTGTTGCCAAGTGAGTTTACCTCATTTTTATTGTTATTATTACCTTATATTTGCGTAATATTTGATTTTTTTTGCTAAATATGGTAAAATATTATTTATCTTGTGCGTAGACTCGATGATGGATGTACGTAAAATAAATGATTATTTCTTTTATCTTATATTTGTCATACAAATTGTTTATCACAAATTTTTTTTTTCTTTTTTCGTGATATAGCTTGGTCTCGTCCATCCTGCATTAGTATTGGTGGAGTGGTAAGTTTCAAAAGACTAAAGGGACGCTGACTTTAATAATTTGAATTTAATAACACTTAATATTTATTAGGGTTTTGGTCCACAATTTGGTGCTGATGTTACCGACTTTTTAATCATTCTCAACACAAAAGAAGCTGTTAAGGCATTCTCCCATGGTGAAAATGTAACTTTAGGAGGTAATTACATCTTATCGTATATTAATATTAATATTAATATTATTTTATCTAATAACGTTCATGATCCTTCTATCATCTCACTCCATACAGGAAGTTTATCTAGTAAGCTTATCCTTTTTTATAATAATTTTTTAATAAATCACATATAATTGACATTCTATTCAATTATCATTACTGTAGTAACCGCTGGTCCTCTTGGTTACGGAGGTGAAGTTGCTGGTTCTGTCTATGATGGCGCCGCCCTCTTTTCTTATAGCAAGTCTAAGGGTCTTTTCGCTGGTATGTTTTACTGTCTAGTTAACACTCATTTCTATTTTTCATTTATGCGTCCGTTTTTCGTTTTATATGTTATATTCATTTTTTTTATTTGTAAATTTTTATAGGTGTATCGCTTGAAGGCACCATCATCTTTGAACGCAAGGATGCGAACCATAAATTTTATGAAAAAGATATATCAGCTGAAGAACTTTTAAGCACAAAAGCTGTAATGTATCCACCTGCCACCCACGTGTTGTATGAAGCCATTAGAAAAGCTGAAGAAAGACAACCAAAGAATTAAATTCATATTCATAATGCGAAATTAATTATTTTTAGTTTTAGTCAAAATCAATAGTCACTCAATAATCATTCAATAGTCACTCAGTAGTCACCCAGTTTCAATTTTTATTGTTATATCTAATAGCTTATCTTTTTGGTTATATTATATAATATATATACAGCATAATAAAATTCTACGTATAAAAATATATTGAATATACTACGTATCAGAAGTTCCTTTGTTAACCTTGTACGTATTAAAGCGATTAATGAGTTTGATTTAAATCTGGTTGGGTATTTTCACATGTCAATACCATATGATCCTTATAGTTGGTTGATTGGCGTTTTTGTAACGTTAGACAGTACAAGTACGTTGTTTTCACGCGATTTTTGGATCAACTCCATTATTTTGACAGCGAAATTACACGTTATGCATATATTGTAATTATTGTATCCTAAAAAAGAGACGCACAAACCATCCCATTTATCTGGGATCATAAGATTTTTGTACGTACGTACGTACGTACGTAGGTAGCTGAAATAAAATCTATAAAATTATTCATTAATAACGTAATTCATTAGTCATTTTAAATGTTATTTATACGTATATATATATATATATAGTATATAAACTTTATATTAGTACACTGTATATTTCAATTATAACATAGGTTATCGCTTTTTAATAGTGCGTGCCTAAAGACAAAATATTGTCGTTATCTCCATAGTTTATCAATTTATATTAGGCTGTGCGAGCATCTATAATTTTTAATTAATTATCGTTATGTACGTAATTAAACCCCATCAATCCAAAAAATTATGATATTAAACTTCTAATTTTATTCATCCAATTCCTTATCGATTTCTTTTGGGTTAAAGGTGAAATATCTAAGGTTCCGTTCTAGATTACCTCTTTTTATTCCTTCCTTATCTTGTAATGAATCTATAAAAAAATTTATGTAATATAAGTTATATATAATTCATTACATTATAATTACAATTGATATCTGATATAGAAGTATTGTAAATTTAATAAAATAAAATATTACGAAACCTTCATTATAACTATTCACTTTTTCCATTCTCTTACGAAGATTATCTTTTCTGATCTTATCTTTAATTTTTTTTAATCCAGTTTTAGTTGATTGAAATTTATTCTTTTCACTTGCTTTTTTAATTTTATTTGTGTCATTCTTTTTTAAAGAACGTGCTTCACTTCTTTCATTAGAAGTATTATACCAAGCTAGAAATCGCTTTTTCAATTCTTCCTCGTTTAACGCTGTTTTGGTTTTGCTTAATTTTTTTGACATCGAGTATTTTTTATCTTTATCGCTATTTTAATAAATATTTTTAATGTTAATTAGAATCTTTTAACCTAAAAAAATTGAATGGTAAAAAAATTTATATACGTATCATATGATTTTTTTTTTTTTTAGGATTACACTAATTTTGTAATTCATAACAAATATATCGATACTGTATGTGTACCGGGTATTAAAAACATCCATCTACTCTTTATCGTTTACCAATCAATGAGTACCGTGTATGAACCTTCCACAGCGGTGGACCCGTTAAAGTCTATTCTTCCTCTTCGTCGCACATTAAAAACCAATCAACCTATATTAATAACTTCTGTGACTACAAATTCTTCTCCTTCTCTTCTTAATCAACTACATAAAATTTTTAATGAGATTATCGAAGAAGGAACTACATATCCTCAAGAATTCTTTCTTGATTATGATGGTTTTATTAACCTCTTTTTAAGTCATAATACTTTCGTTGTTTTTAAAGATGATGTTAATGAAAATGTTAATGAAAATTGGGATGATAAAATAATGGGTATGTATTATATTAAACCTAATTATCCCGGAAGATGTAGTCATGTAAGTTATTACTATACATAAAGTAATATATGAGTCAGTGTCTACCGTTATAGGTCTTCAAGACTTTTTGATCAAAATTTGATAATTTATCGGGCTATATTCTTGAGCAAGTGCTCTATTCATAAAACTTTCATTGCGTGATATCATAATAAAATTTGCTATAATTCAATCAAAGTCTTTTAGTTTCTATATATTTTTAAATAAATAATCAAAATTGATTGAACATCGATTTTTAAATTTGAAAAACTATCCCCGACGGTAGACACTGACCCATAAATTTTTTTTAAACATTAAAATATTTACATATTAACGTTAATAAATCAATATATGTTAGGTATGTAATGCAGGTTTCGTAGTTCCATTAAAATTTAGAAATTTAGGTATTGGTAAAATAATGGCAGAATCGTTTCTTTTATTTGCTCCATTATTAGGTTATAAATCTAGTGTTTTTAATTTAGTATTTGAAAATAATATTGCTTCTATAAAACTTTGGAAATCTCTTGGTTTTAAAGAAGTTGGTAAAATACCTAAAGCTGGAAGATTAAAAGGTTCCGATAAATTAATTGATGCATTAATGTTTTATTATGACTTTGAGGAAAAAAATCAAAAATTTTTAAATATTTTATACTAAATTATATATTTTTTTAAAATAATTAATATATATATATATATATACTACTGTAAATTAATTTTTTATATATTTTGTATATTTTTATATAATTAATTTTTTATATATTTTGTATATATATTTTTATATAATTAAATTATTAGTAATTAAAAGTTTTTTTAAATATATATACTGTACAATATATATATTAAATATAGTATACTATATATATATATATATATTTTTACTTTTTTTTTTTAATATGTATATATACTGTAACTTATATATATTTTTATATTGTATATAGTTTTTTTTTTAAACTTTAATTCAATAATTAAAGATACTGTATTTGATAACTATTTAATTAAATTTAATAAATTTTTTTATTAAAATTTTATATACAAATTTATAAAATTCAAATAAAAAAAAATAATAAATTTAGTTAAATATATAATTGTAATAAAAAAATTAATATATTCATAACTATAGCTATCTGTAACTATATTTCATAATTTTTATAATAACTTAAAATTTTATTGAAGTAATTTTTGTTATAATGCTAAGTAAATTTGATTTTTTTTTTATTTTAGCTCTAAACTTTAATTTTAACTTTAACCCTAATCTTAATTTATAAATTATAAATTTTATGTTAGAGATAATGCTAAAATTTAGAGTTTTTTTTTAAAAATAATATAAATCCTATTAAAACGCAACTATACTCTTTAATTATAAACTCTATTTTTAAATTCTAATTCAACTATAAAAAACAAAACAACAAATTTCTCAAAAAATTTTTAAAATTTTATATTAAAATCTTAGCATTATTCTCAACAATATTTAATAAAAATATATAGCAATTATGTAGTATATACTAGCAATTATAAATAATGCAATATGTAATAATTTTTATAATAAAATATATGTAGTAATTATTAAAATTTTCACTTTACGTATAATTAAAATTTTTAAAAAAAATTTTTAAAAATAATTTTTTTATATCAGAATAAATTTCATTAATTGTAATTTTAAAAAATATTTTTTTAGATTTTTTAAAAATTTTTATAGCAAGTTGTTCTAAAGTCGAAACTCTAGTAAAAATTTTTATATATATATATAATATTATAAAAATTTTTGCTAAGGTTTTGATCTTAGAACGACTTAGTCATAAAAATTTTTAAAAAATCTGAAAAAAATATTTTTTAGAAATTACAATTGATGAAATTTATTCTGATATAAAAAAAAATTTTTCCAAAAATTTTTATTATAGTATTATATTAGTGGTATATTAGTATTTTTTTAAATTTTTATCAAGTAACTCCGTGTAACTTCTAATTGTAGTACAAATCTGATTCCACCCTTGATATCAATTTCTTTAGCATAGTTTTTACCATTTGTCAATTGGGTTAATAGTTAATGAGTTATCAAGATTTAAAGATATATAACTATAAAAGGTGATGAATAACAATCTGTTACCTATGTGACACAGGACCCGTTGGTACAAACCAGGGATGGTAAATGACCAGGTCATTTACTCAAAATTTAAATGACCAAGTTATTTGTGTAAATAACCTGGTCATCTGGATCATTAAGTCATTTAGGTCATTTATATGTAAAATAATTTTATTGGTCAGATAGCTAATATAAAAAGTTATCAAACACCAAAGCCAAAATTTTACTAGGTTAATCAATATTTATATCTTTAGTAAAGTTGTTCAAAAAAACAACTTAAATCAGTAAATTTGACTTTTATATGTAGCTACGATTATCGATAATATTTTATAAAAAATTACTTTACTAGTATGTCTAATAATCAAAGTTGATTGGTTAAAAAGCGTTAGATTATCAGTTAACAAATGTTAAATAACCTTCTATGGTCATTTGAATGTGAAATGACCCAATGACTAGTCACTAGTCATTTGAGTTATTTGGGTCTTTTCAAGTCATTTACCGTCCCTGGTACAGACCCATTGGCAGTGTTGTCATAGGACATGGACAGTGGACAGTCCAGGACAGGATGTCCGTAGACATGTCCGCGGAAAATTTTTTTGTCCCGGACAATTAAATTGTAATAAGAGTGGCCTTGTTAGCCAATCAAATCGTTTAATAAACCCATAAGATGGAACACCATTGCGGACATGGGACATTGTCTGGGACATGGGACGTTGTCCCGGACTGTCTGTGTCACTGTAATTTTAGCTGGACAACATCTATGTATAATACTGCCTGTTGGTACAGACTTACAGACCTATTAGTATAAACCTGTTGATACAGACACAGATCCATTAACACAAAATATTATTCATTCTTATATAGAGTTCTAAAAGATATAAAAACCCTGTCTTTTTGATAAGTTCTACTAGGTTTTAACTTGTATTCTCCTAACTATTCTCTAATAAATAAATATTATTCTTTTAACTATATATATACTTGTTATATATATTATATACTCTCTTTTATTGCCTTTTTGTTATCCTTTGTTGCTTCTTTTCATTACCTTCTATCTTGATTTTATTATTTCTTTTATTGCTCTTTTTTACTACTTTCTATTTGAGTTTTATTATATTTTTTTGTTAATTTTTCTTCTTGCTTTCTATATATATTTTTATACTATATAGTTTATATTTCTTGTTTTTAGTTTTCTTTTCTTTCTTCTCTTCCCCCTTTTAAGCATATTCCTTACTCTCTGCACGTTAAGTCAAGTGGTATAGGTAACAAGGCTAGTTATCTATGCTACAATAGAGTGAAAATTTTAATAGTTACCACTATATATAATGTATATATATACATATATTTTTTATTATAAAAATTATGCCAGTATACTATATATTTTTAATATATACAGTATATACTGTATATATATAGTACCTGATACTTTTGTATCTATAAATATTAAGCATTAGTGCCTGGCCTAGTGCCAATGTGCCAGACATAGACATTTGCAAACCCCTAGTTGAAACTAACTATTTGATTTTATTTACTTTCAGATAATTCATTACATTTTTTAAAACTACAGATTTTAAACTATCTAACTATACTGTATATATATATACAGTAGATATTCACAATGTATCCTCTAACAATTACACACAACCGAATTTTTAATAAATTTTTTCGCTTGCTAATACGTAATCATCAAAAAATAATCGTCAGTCGGTAATCTTTGTCAAGAGAGTGCACCACCACTTGGTCGGCCAATGGCTAAAAAGAGCAAGAAAATTATTTGGCCAATATTAACAGTAATATGAGTGACGCCAAGCGAAAACCAGCAATTTCGATTTTTGCCGGCTCCGCTTTCTGATAAATTTAAGCACAACATATATTATATGGTGTTAAAATCACATTTTTGGGGGTTTGATCTGTAAAATTGATTTCGGAAAACTCAATTCCTGGTTTTCGCTTGGCGGCACTCATATATATACTTGGTTAATATATATTATATAAGAGAAACTTTTGACCAAAGTTTGGCTGTTGGCTAATTGGCCAGCCAATTGGCCAAAAAATTTGGTTGGCCGCAAAAAATTGCCAACACTATAATGGTAGCGGTAGTAATATTTATTATACGTTTAACAAATGCTTCTTAAATAAATTCTAAAATATATATAGTTTAGATGAGTATTACGTGGTTTATCGTTACGTATCAGATCCACAAATTGTCTCGATGTATTATTGCGCAGTGAGTTGTACAAGCAATGACATAATGATTGAACCTCCTAATATATTTTTATTACACCTGATTGGTAATTCATTGCGTCCGCGCTCGGAAAAATTTTTGCGATAAGCACGTATCATCAATATATATGTCGATATATGTGTTTATTTTTCATTAACTTTGAAATAACAAAACCGAATTAAAAGAAAATGGAAGATACACCTGTTAATTTGGTATTTATAATATTTACCGTTTATATAAATTTATAAAAATATTATTTTATCTTATCCATTCATATTTTGTAATGTTAAATAAAGGCTCATGCTTTCGCAAACCAAGCTGAAGAATTTGAAGAGAAGGAATTATGGGCTAAGGCGATGGAAGCCCATTTCCGTGCTGCTGGTATATAAACCTGTCCTTCTATTACTTTTTAAATGACGTTAATAATTTCAAGGAATTTAAAGATTCCGAAAATTTTTTAAGTATTTACGTGAATTAATAATGCATGTATGCTTTTTTTTAAAAATCAATTAGATCAATTTGTTTTGGCGATAAATTATACATCAGATCCGGAGGTAAAGTATTTGATCAATTGATTTCTTTTTTTTTAAGTTTATCTAGTTTGCCTTTATTCATGAATTCAAACCTTTGTAGGTAGCGCGAACTTTAAAATTGCTGTACGCTACCCATAATCGACAAGGCAAAGAATTACAACGTCGTATAGAAAAGCAAGCACAGCAATCTCCAAAACAACCACAAGAACGACTAAATACACCTACATCTCATAGAAGTCGATCAAAATCAGGTTCTGCTGCACCAGATAAAAGTAATTCTACTCAAAGGACACATCAATTACAATCTAGAAAAGGATCGTCTTCTACGCTACCAACAACGTATTTGAGTTCTCAGCATGCTCTGGGCGTCCAGATACCATCTAATAACAATGAAAAGATGGCTTCAGATTTGTTAAGATCAGGATTTAGTAGTACATCTGTTAACTCTAATAGTGGCATAAGACGGAACCCAGTATGGTCTGATTGTGTGTAGCATATAATATAAAAGTTGTCTGTTTGAAGTATTGTTGTCAATCTTTTTTGAATTTATTATTTGTATGTTATAGCTACAACTTCAATAGGTGTTTCAAAAGAGATGATGACGTCGACTGCCCCAAGTATCTCGTTGGAAGGTTCATCCAGTTCTGAGAAAATTGGTGACTCTTATATGGTGTTGCAAGGACACAATGACTCTACTGATGTTAGTGATAATATTTTAATTTTCGTTGATCCTATCAAACTGATTTAACTTAAACTTTGACAAACATTTTTATAATAGGATGATGATTCGGATCCTTTCAATAAATTCTGGGGAATTGTTGAAACGTTAGTTTCTAAAATATCCAACCCCTTAACCAACCCGGTTGCCTTTGCAACTGTACCTCTAAATGCATCCGAATATTCTCGAACGCCATTTGATCCAAATACAATTCACCCCCCTTTACCGTTTGGTAACAATATCAGTGATGTTGGTAGGCTCGAAATATTGTATACTTTTTTCCGTGTTTGAATTATTAAATATATAACCTTTGTTTAATTTTATTTATATTTAAAAGATAATGATTCAAAAGTAGATGAGTTAAATGCTGCTATGATGGAATCATTTTTTATTATACCGAAAGAACAAAGATTAACCGGTGCATCTGGCGCTTATTCTCACCCATCGTCAACACTGTCACCTGGAACTCATTTTTCATCTGGAAGGTTAGATAATTTTTTGTTAAGAATTAAATGAACGACAACAAAATATTACATTATTTATTTTTAAATTTCTGTATAGTAGAAATACTTCAAAAACTTTAGAAGAATACGCGATGGAGAATGCACAACTTAAATCTGTCATAGATAATTTGACTAAAAGGATGACGACTTATGAAAAGGTGGGTAACCTGTCAGTATCAATCTGTAAATTTTGTTCATTGACCTAACTTTTAACCAATTTTTATAATAGGCTGCCGAAGAGAATAGTATGTTAAAAAGTAGCATTTTGCAATTTAAAAATGATTTACAAAAACAGGTTTGAACAATAAATTTCTTATTTCTTCACTTCTAAATTATTATTTAAATATTTTACATTTTTACTACTATAGGCCAAACGGATCAAAGTTAGTCAAGAAATGCTGCGGTCGTCTTATGTAGCAAAACAGGTTTCGCCTGAAAGTTCAACTGGTAATTATAAATTTTTAGTATTTTATAAATTTCTTAATTATTTCAATTCTAATTCGATGAAAATACCTTTGTGTCCAAAGTTGCTAGCGCGCAGTCTCTTCAAAAACGTATCAAAGAGTTAGAAGAAGAACTTCATCTCACGAAAGCTGAATGTGAAAAACAGGTATTTGAAACTCAAATTTTATACACTTAATGTTTAAACTTTATGTAATGAAATATATATTTATCCTTATCATAATTTTAGAAAAGTCTTGCGGCAAAATATAAGGACCGTTTGAATAAGATAAAAGATAACGCAAGAAGCAAGAGGCAGGGTGGACAACAAACCGAGAATAAGTCGAATGATTCATCGGCAATTCCTGACAACGTTTGACGATGAACTTTATGACCTATATGATTTATATGATTCATTTGGTCATTTGTAAAGGTTTATGACTACATAATATACATAATTAGACAATATAAATTATATATATAGTTATAAATAATTTTGTATAAAAAACAATGTTAAAGCCAATCACTTATTCGACAAAAAGTATTAATAATAAATTATCAATGTTTGACTAAATTATTTTTTTTTTATCGTTATTATAATATATATATATTAACTTTCAATAAATTATATATTTTTTATTACCGTAGTTAAACTAATAGTAAATCTTATCACGTATTTTTACATAAATATTACTTGCGGTGCTTAACATATATCGTGAGGGAATTGGCTGAAGCTGTCTCTTTGATCTGTAGAACCTAATACAACCTACTTATACCCTTTAATTAATAATTCCAACACTAAGTTCTAACCTAAATATATATATTTAACTAAAAAAAATTCTAAAACTGTCAAATCTAGGGATTCTTTAATTAAGCCGGCATTAAAATTGTCCTGGTCCATGATCAACATAATTCGGCCCGGTAATTGGAAAATGTGGGTCAGGTTGGTGAACTCATACAGGGAGATCTCCAAAATTCCAGGTCGGAGTGCATCGGAACACTGGCCGGATGGGCCGGAATCGATCGATTTTGCTAAGAATTTTACTAGTGAAACCATAGTCGTTTATTAAGTAAAAAATGCCCAGCTGATAATTTTATTATAGCTTCTGCTAACCGGAATAGCTAACCCTAACCCGAACCTAACCACGACGCATTCCGGCCATTCCGACCCAGAAATTTAGGGATCCTCCTGTAAAAAATTAAAATTGCAACTCGTGACTTCGTTCAAATTTCTATATATACTTTTTAGATTCAAAAAAAAAAATTTTTTCTTCAGAATGATTCCTTCCCATTCAAAAAAGTTATGATGAGTTGGCTATTCGATGAAAGAGTACCTTGTTTTTTTTTAAAAAAAAAACTTGGGACCAGATGAAAAGATGTGCTTGGCCGTTTCCTTGTTACGTCAAAAGCACATATGCCTATCTGAACAATAAAAATTTGCGGAAGTGAATCCATTCTTTAAATATTTTTAAGTTATAATTCTTAAAAGAACTTTTATTATAAATTTTTTTTAAGACGGAATCTTGAAATATTAGGAAAGTATTGATCCTTAAAGTATAATGATTATCTCTAGACTTTAATTTTATAAACTTTATTATATTCAAGTTGTTAAAAAAAAAAACAATAAACAAGTAGTAAATTTGAAAACGAAAGAAAATTATTATCAGCAGTTATAACTATTTTATTACAAATCCACAAAGATAAATAAAACGAAAAATATATGAATTTAACAAAAGTAAACGCCAATTGTGCGTCAAATTTTCCCATACTTATATAAATTTTTGTTGTAATTTAAGCATATCGATCAAAATTAACGTCAATAATACGACCGCCATAAGTGTACCCGCTAAATTTTTCTTTATTGCAGGTATTAAGTATTCTTGATTAATAATTCATATTATATTACGGAAAACGCCATTGGTGTTTGGCAATAAATAAATAATAAATCTGATTCTTACCAACAGCAAAACGAGCAGCCTCGTTTGAATCGAATTGCACTACACCGGCACCCTTTGGTCTTCCATTCTGCTCTAGAATCTCAGCCCTTAAAACATTACCTATTTACGATTGAGGTAATCAACATTAGACAAAATAACAAACTATTATAACATAAATAATGACTAACCGCAATGTTTAAAGAGATCTCTCAAATCCAGATTAGTTGTTGTGAACGGGAGCTATGTAACCCAACAAAAAGAAAGCACCAAAAATTATTAATTCTAGCATGTCTACATTTTTTTCTAAATTTTATTTCCATATCATCTATCATTTTTGCTTAGAAATACCAATACATAAGAAGAAACCAAGATACTGTTTTCTTCTACTGTTTCTTTACATCTAGAATACAACTCAAAAAAAAAAAAAAAAAAAAAAAAAATCTAACGTCAAATATTATCTGCATAGTAGTATCCTTACATTTCTGACAAAGATTTGTGTTCCAGTCCCACCGGATGCTCCTGGTGTAGGATAGTAACCCGCCGACCCGTCATATCCAACTGCACCACCGTATGGGGGAATGTAACCTCCACCAAATCCACCGCCGCTATAATCCATCATGTTTGCGCCTGCAGCGCTGAAATCATTATAACCGCCACCGTATCCATCATACTGGTCTGGTCCAGGTCCCATAGATTGGTAAGTCGAACCAAAGCTTGCTGGTGCAGCTGCTTGTGGCCCATAAAACCCTCCCGCAGAGTTATGATAATGGCTCGGACCCGCATAAGGACGTGTTGGGCGTGTTGAAAATCTCGGTGGTGGTGGTCCTCCAGCAAATCGATCCTATGAAAAATAAGGGGAATGCATTCGAAAAAGAAAACCCACCAGCTCAATACTTGCCTCATGTTAATTCCTGCCCACACCAAACAGTAACGCGGTAGAAACAACGTGTCTATCTTAAGTCACGTTATAACCACCGACTAGCCTTTTTTTTTTCTCCACCAAAAGACTTCCAAACAAAAAAAAAAGCAACCAAACTACACCCCACCTCACGGACTTCAATCCTTCTACCATTCAATTCGAACCCATCGTACATAGCTAAAATAAAAATAACCATTTAGCTTAATGACCCTAAATTTCATCCATCCCAATTCCTTCATTCTTCCTACTTTATATATACAAGCCAACACAAATGCCCATAATTTTTTTCACAAACATACAAATCGCATTTGCAGCATCTGCTGGTGTCTCAAAAAGAACAGTCCCTGACCCTTTAGATCGTCTATCTGGGCCAATGAGTATATCAGCGCGAATAATGTTTCCTAGCAAAAAAAGCAGAGATTTAATTTAATGCGTTAACAATATCTTGTAATATCGACGTAGCTTACCTGCATTTCTAAAAAGATCTTTTAATTCCTGCCATCCAACAGAATAGGGTAGCTGTTTATGTATTAAGTAAAAAAGTAAAAAAGTATAAAATATAAATAAATAAATAAAATAAATATGCACATATCAGATGTACAAGAATCCACCGCATTTCAATAAGGTTATTGCACTTACATTGCCCACATAAATTTGTCTACCAGCATTACCACCACTAACGTTTGGAGGATGATGACTATGATTACTATTGGACATTGGTAATGCTCTATCGGGCCTAATACTTAATCCAGTACCAAATTTTGCTTCAGTCTCACGATCCTATAAATTATAAAAAAGTAAATATTCCATACGTATAAGGACATGGATAATGCTCATTTTATGAATACCTCGCGAATAAACACAGGTCTCCCGAGTAATTGGGTGTCATTAAGAGTTTCTATTGCTCTCCGTGCATCTTCCGGCGTACGATATTCAACGACACTAAATTTTTAGAAAAATTAAATAAGTGGCCGCGCTATTAAATTACTATGTGTTTAATGAAATTTACCCGCATCCCTATTAAAACAATTGAAAACTTAAGATGTTACTAACTTCATTTACTAATCTACATATTAATGAAATACATACTTTAGACATGCCATTAGGTTGTACCAAAACGTCGGCAAAAACAACTTCACCAGCTTTGAAGTTGAAATTAAAATTATTAAGAAATATACAAGAAAGTTTAACAATATTTCAAATGAAATCAAATAATAATACCTTGGCGCATAAAATCTTTTAATTGAGCCCATTTTACTTCATAAGCCAAATTTCCAACATAAACGCGGCACTCCTTTTGTGATCTTTGTGAAGCGTTTATTGCTTTAAAATAAAATATTAAATAACATCAAACATTATTTATTGATTAATACATGGGCCTTACGGTAAATAATCATATTTAATATCGAATGTCAAACCTTGTAGACCATTGGATGATGGCATTGGATTATTCTTTGACATACCTGCCACTTCCCGAGCTGATATCCTTTGATTATAATTTCTGTCTTGTCTGAAATTATTACGCAAACTAACATTTCGTTCCCTTGGTTCCCTCTCCCTTGACCGGCTACGTGGATCCCTTCTTTCTCGTTCCCTTTCGCGATGTGTTTCTCGTGTACCATTATTATTTCTATCCCTTTCCGGTTCTCTTTCTCGTCTTTCCTGTCTATCAGGTCTCTCAGGTTCATAATGATACGGTGGACGACGGCGATAAGTTTCAGGATGTGGATCCCCTCCCCTTTGTGGCGTTCGTGGAGAGCGGGAACGTCTATGTGGCGTACGTTCCCGCCGCGGAGACCGAGAACGACGTGGAGATCTGGAACGTCGACGCGGTGATAGTGATCGGCTGGTGCTTTTTCTGAAAGAATTAATGAAAACGATACATAAGGAGCCGAATGCAATAATTTTAAGTAAAATAGACCATGTTATAGAAAACATTACAATACCCATAATTTACTGAAAATACCTGCGCCGATATTTAAAGTCTTCATCGTCAGTTCTGCTACGCCGACGGTCCTCAGTATTATAACGATCATCGTGATGATCTGTCACAATATCTTCCGCTGCAGTGAGGCAATCGAGTGTTGTATTGATTGGATCACTCATGTCTTCAGTGGGTGTGTGCGGTCCAGATGACATTGTTCAAGCTCTTTTAACGGGCTCAATTTTTTTTCTGAGCATAAAAAAAAAACAGAAAATCAATCAATATAAGGACAACCAAAGAACCGTTGTCACTTTAGTAAATGTAAGATAATGTCGGAGAACAAAAGCAATGAGAATTCTTAAAATATCATACAGTATATACTATAAATAAACTTGCCATGTATGTGGCTTGGCTTGAAACATTAAATAGCAAATCAAAATAAGTCGACTGATCTTACTAAACAAAACTTGTTTATATAGTAGACATATCTCTTAAACTGTTTTCAGGCATATTTGCCTAAAATTTTAAAATATATATTAACGACTTTCCTTTTTTAAGGGGAGCATACATTTTTATACGTATATACTGTATGGTTATTGTTACGTACAAGAATTATGGACGATACAGTATGTTACACCTAATTTTTTTATATGTAATAAACTATAAAATAAAACATGGATATTGCTAACTTGTTAAATCACCAGGGGGTGCTAGTATATTTCAAAAACGTATTAATTAACAAAATTTGAATCTTTATATCAGATATTAAATTTTTAAATTATACGTATATGTTGTAACCTAGATGCAAATTGGCCCTATTGACAATTGGGCTAGCCTAGATAACAATTTGATTTTGGGATAGCAATTTTGTCCCAAATGCAAATTAGATAATATATCA